TATTAAATTTTACTACAGAATATCCCGTCTATCAATACACAGGATTCAAGGCAGGGGATGCTTTTGCTCTTAGGACCTGATCCCATCTCTGAAATTTCCATGGGTCTGTGCTTTATGCTCTGTTCACAGATTTGTATTGTTTGAATGATTTTTTAAAGATTGATTGGTGTTCGTTATCTTCACCTTTTTCATTGAAAAACGAAAACAAAACTGCTGCCTTTGGTTAGGTGGAGATATTTATCTACCAGACATCTCATAGATCACACAAACAATAAATAGCCACCACAACTCAACATCAGTGAATGTTCCTGGACATTGGAACATGTCATCACATTTCCAACAAGGAAAGATCAAGTGTTGGACCTATTAATGACAAATCAACCATCACTTAGAAAGACCTTTAGTACAGTATGCCTGTTATTTTCTGGGATGAGCATACAGTTCACAACACCCAAAAGCTGAAGGCAGTTCAAAGACGATCGATTTGTGATTAACAACTACTCATGTACAGGATAGCGCATGGCCTGGTAGCTATTCCACAATCTGAGCTACATCCAATGATGTCTCTAACCTCCCCCCTTTTCATATAAATAATCACTCTGAAAAAAAAAGAGATAAACTTGATTTAATTAAATACTTTCCAAATTTTTAACGAAATCTAACCTTTTTTTATCTTTAGCCTGTATTCATAGATTGAAAAAAAATGCATGGGTTATTGTTGGTTAAATATTTGACTGTTGTTGCAGCAGCAAGATATACCAGTATGCAGATATTTAAAATGAAGCAAAATTACCTTTTTTTTTTAATTGTTCAGAATATTTTTCGACATCTTATTAAGCTTCAAAGATATATGCATTAAACAGATAATGATGATGTATACGGTGCTTATTTTTCTCTTTTGTGGAACCTGTGAAACCAAAGCTAAGGAGGAAATTAAAATTTAAGGATTTTGAACTTTCGGAAGTTAAAAAGCAATAAGTTATTTGGAATCAAATCATTTGAAGCATGAAATGACCATTCGTGTTTATTTTACTGCTCAAATGAGCAATGCATTTTCAAAACACATCAAAAGGCATAAATAAGTGAACACGCAGAGCGTTCTATTTCAGGGAAACGAGTTACACAGATTTTTTTCTCTCAAAGATTATTAAATATTTCCTTCTACTGTTTTGGGTGGGGTTATTATGCAATGAGATCAATGGTACTCAAGGCATTAAGGAAAAATTTTGATGCATAAAACTATGTCTAAAACTGACAACCTTTTTGCAAATTGAACAGTAATTCCTTTTTCAAAATTTTAATTGGTTACATCATTGTTTACAAAAAATACCTGTAAATCAACTGAAATTTTGTTTCTTATCAGCAGTAAATCATAGTGTAATTTCTTATCATTGCTGATATTTGCTAAAGACTTCTAGGTTTGGCAACTACACAGGCCTAAACAGAGCCAATACAGCCTCAAAAGTTGTAGTCAGTCTGTATGGGTTTCTAATGGAATTATATACTCTAATCATGCTTCTTATTATTGCTATCCTAGGAAAATTAATGAACTGTTTTGGATATGGTAAGTAAACTTTAAACATTGTCAAAGTCAATAGAGTCTGATGTGATTGTTCCCAAGATAGGGGGTTAGGGTCAGGGTATTATTACTTTCAAGATGTATATCAACTGAGGTATTAATCAAGTTATTAAAATTTAAAGTAATTTGAATTCTTGAATAATATGTTGATTGTTTTCTGTCATAACTGAATGAACTTGGCCTTAATCATTTTTCATATTAATTTAGTACTGTTTCATAGAGTTCCGTTTATATTTATTAATATCATGATTATCGGAGATTTTTAAATATCTTAACAATTCTTCTGAAAATTATAGAACCCAAAGGAAGAATTCGATATTTCAGGAATATACTTTGCTGCAAAATCAATTGTTTTGATTTAAAAAAAATGTCTGGCCAGTGTCCTTTTGGTTTCTTGATTTCTCACCAAATTTGAATAATGAATGTAGAGAACATGTATTAACGACATTGTATGTATGCAATAATGGTGATTCCAATTCTCAAATACTTAATGTCCTGAGTGTTAACATTGACTGGTTAATTGAATGAAGATTTACGTCACATATTTTTTTAATAAACCCAGAGGTCGATATACATGTATCTATGGATTGACAGAAGAAAGGTTTACGTTTGTTATTTTATTTTCTACAAGGCGAAATTCGTTTCAATATTTTGAAAAGGAAGATTGTCAAAATGTGAAGAAGAAAAAAAAATTATTAAAAGTACTGATCAATCCGAGCATTCGCTGATTGAACCACATTAACAGGAAAAAGAATTTTGACTGGGTTGAATGACAGTCCAGTCAATCAATTTTACGAATTCACAAAACTTCCCTAATCTCATATTAGAAAGTACAGGTCCAACCGAGTTTTTTTTAAGTTGAAATATAGAAATATCCAGTCTATCCGCATTTCTATACTTTGACACGTGATATCAAACGAACCAATGATAAAACCCAATACAATGTATGAAATTTTTTTTTATATATTTAATTCGATCGTATAAGTAAATCTCACATCACCACGGGAGACCAGACTGATCGGACGTACTTGCGGTTGTCCTGATTAATTTCAAATTAATTAGTGATCAAAATAAAAATTTAAAATTGCAAATATATAGTTCAGTAGCGTAGTTGTATTGCTATATGTTTTTGGTTTTATTGGGTTTTTTAATGACTTTTTAATCTCTTCTATGTCCTTGGAAAGAGACAGGGCGTCCTGAAAATTTGACAGTTTTTGATTGTTTCTTTAGTGCTTTATACTCTTGGTTGTAAAATTGTAAAAATATAAAAATCAATTCTTGGCCTTGTATCTATTTAATAGATCCGACACACACACATATATATATAGAAAGCGCAGAGAAATTCACTTTTATACGGATACCCACTTCCGCCCCATCCCGGGGTTGAACTCTCGACCTACGGAATCTGTCTCCTAGCAGTACAGGAACAGCGCGCTAGACCCCTCGGCCCTCTAGGCAAGCCAAAAACTTGCTTTCGATGCCGATGGAATTCTTGCGGCGGCGCCCTATACTACACGATCATTGTTGTAAATTAATGTGCTTTATATATATATATTTAGAGAGAGAGAGAGCAAAGAGAGAGAGAGAGAGAGCGCACGCACATAATGAAGTGCCAGGGATGGATGAATTTCCTTCGTTAAAAGCGTAATTTGTTATATATGTTAGCTTAGGTTCACAATAAATTTCAGGGGGAATGAAAATCACATCTCTGTAAGCATTAATTCATTATAAGCGTGTTCGCTATAAACGTGTTTGACTATATATTTAGTGTTCGTGTTACTATTTGATGGGTGTTCTTATGTATTAAACATATTGGAACAGTCAATGAATACATGAGTCATATATTTTGAAGCAATTGTAAAGAGGTATTTAAAATAATATACTAGAGCTACATTCTAATAACACTTCCAGTCGTCAATCAGACTCCTTTTCTTCTTTGAATCCAAAATCATGCAAGACTTTACTTTATTCATTAAGAATGTTTAAACACACGGGGGGAAACTCTCTCAGACGTGAGATTCGAAATTCCTCGGCGGCAAATTTAAAATAGCTATATTGTTGGTCACCTTTGGTTTTCATTCTAATTAAGAAAATTGTGGAATTATTATAACCTTACATTTTGCTATAATTTTCTTAGATTTTTGTTGATCTTGTCCTATTTCCTTATAAGTGTGCATCACATGAAAATCACTGGCACATTTTCAGATTCAAGACATAAGTTATAAGTCAAATTTGGAGATCACGAACTGTAATTAAGCTCAAAATTCCATTGAAACAATAAAAATCGCAGAGCGAACACGGACCCCTAAAAGCATCAGAGATGGGATCAGGTGCCATGGAGGAGTAAGAATCCCCTGCCGATCGATCACACCCGCCGTATGCTCCTTGTCATGATCAGGCAAACGGAAAATCGTAGACAATTCAATATGTAAATAATGGTCTAACAATTAGTATGAAAAACGTCAGTGAGCATTCGACTTAGTGATAGATTGTATATGCTGAGAAGGTCATTGTATCGACCATAGAACTTGAGAAATGTTGACTTTGAACGAGACTCTTGATATTCTTGTTTTATCAATTTGTTTGTGAATAGCTTACCTCGTTTTAGAAATTGTTCGTACGTAGAGCATGCTCTTGCGTATCGAATCAACTGGGAGGCATAAACCCCATATGCAGGTGATAAGAGGATATTGCTACATAAGTAAGGGAAGTTGACGATAGAAAAGTAGAATTCATTACGTTTATCATAACGTTTTGTTGTTAGGTAACTAGGTCTTTTTCTAGTAAAATATCCATATATGAAACAAATGCGTCAGACTCTGTGGTATATTTTATTTCAATTTTACTGGGATATATCGAGTCTACATATGAATGGAAGTGATAATACGTCGTCGATATCTAAATGTCGAGTTGAAGACCACAGCAAGTGTTTTCTTCTTACGTAGAAGTTTTTGAATAAATTCTGTTTCATATGAATACAGTACATAAAAGGTTTGCTAATAACGGAGCGCAATTGGTACCCATGGAGATTCTGACAGATTGTTGGAAGACCTTATCTCCAAAAACTACATAGATATTGTCAATCAGAAACTCAAGCATCTTTTTAATATCAACTTCAGAGTACTTGTTTGTACAATCAGAATGTTTTTTAACAAAATAATTTTGCAAATGACAAGGTAAGTAAATTTACGAGTTCCAGATAATTGAAAAAGCAACTGTATATTATGTCAAAAAGTAAAATGTTTTTCCAGTTTTAATGGTATTTTAATAAAATATAATCGTTTTAATAAAGCAATGACTTCTTAGATAACTTATCGCACGGTCAATCAGCAGTACAAAGCTCAACATGGCCATGCACCAGCACACAAAGCTGCTCTTCCTCTACGTATATAGCTTCCAACGCAGTGGACGGGTACGTTAGTACGTGCACAAGGACCAGGTACATTGGCCAGAATAATCCTTACGACAAGGTTTGGTGGTACGTTGACATGGGTGTATGATATCAGATTGCAGTTCAAGGATTATAAAGATGAATATGGATATTCATATTACATCTTCTGTATGTTTTTGTATGCTTTTATGAAGTTTGTTTGATAATCAGAGATCAATGACATTACATATACATATAATGTATTCTGTTTAACAAATTCTCAACAATTAATTTCAATATTTTCTTCGTTAAAATTTCATACTAGGACCAGTAATAACTCAACATAAACTCATATCGAATAGAAAATGAATCCAATTCATTTTGTTATCTAATGATTTTTCAGTGGAGAGACAACAGAGACACCTGGCGGGATTTTCTCTGTATATTTCCAATACATCTCGACGAGAGGAGGGATTCTTGTGTTATAAAGATTTGTCAACACTAGAGTTGCCGGACCTGGATTTCAGTACAAGGTGTATTAAATATGGACGTTTTGTCATCTTTTACAACGAACGAATTGGACAGACATTTTATTCTTCGTCAAGATATGAAAATCCTGCTTTAACAGAGTTATGTGACGTAGTTGTGCGAGGTATATTAGCTCTTTTATCAATATTTTTCTGTACATTCCGTGGATATCACCTTTAAAATAATTTTAGCTCACCTGGGCCAAAGGCAATGAACTTTTGATCGAAATTTGTCCGTTGTCCTCTTTAGTTGTTGTCGTTGGTGTCATAAACTTTTAACATATTTATCCTCTCTTCCAGAACCACTGGGCCAATTTCAACCAAATTTGGCACAGAGTATTCTTAGGTAAAGGGGATAATTCAAGTTTATTCAAATGAAGGGCCACAATCTCTTCCAAGGGGAGATAATTAAGAAATAGCGTTGGGTCATTTTTAAAATCTCATGAACCAATGGGCCAGAAGAGATGAAACTTATATGAAAGCTTCCTGGAAGTGTAGATTCAAGTTTTTCTATGGGCGACCAAAGTTTTACAAGGTAATTTATATCACATTTTTAAAAAAAAATCTTCTCAAGAAAGGCAAAGCTTTTATATATAATATATAGTCATATATAATATGGAATATAATATGGAAGCATCCGTAGTAGTGTAGATTCAAGTTTATTCAAATTATGACCCCTGGGTTAGCGTTGGGCCCCAATATATAATTTAAGGCTTACATAGGAATATATAAGGAAAAAATCTGCTGATAAAGAACAGTGGCGACACGGTGACTCAGAGGAGCATTATGGCCCAAGGGCCTCTCTTCTGATATTCCACAGTTCTGATGTCACATTGGTTTAAATTTTGTTTGATAATGATGGAGTCATAATTAGTTAGGATACTATAAACGAGATTTCATCTATAAAACAGTGTAAAACGCGGTGAAAGAAAATTATAGAACACACTTATCCTGTATCCTCTAATTTATCGTCTTATCATTACTTTGCTTACATGATTCTACGAAAATATATTATTACTTAATTTTGCTCCGATTTATATAAGACTCAACAATATTATAGTTACAAAGTTTATTATATACAAAAACACATATTGGATCATAGGGACTGACAACTGACTTACAGTGCGTTAATTTAGCTGATCTATCTCCAGGGCATTGGAGATAGGCAAAATATACATGGTAACACATTAGAAGCAAACAAAGTAATAACAAATGCACGACTGATAAAATATATACATGTAGTAAACAACATACACATAGAAAACAAATATTACCCCGTGGAGAAAACTAGACATGGTTAAGTTTGTTTGTTTCCGAGTTTGACAAACCGTAGACATAACCTCCAGGTCAAAAGTTAAAGTTCGGTAAATCACAGAATAACTCATGAATGCGTAAAAACGTTCCACAAAAAAAAAACGAAATTGATGTTACTGCAACTGAAAAATCATGGTCTTGCAGTAAGTTCCTTTGTAAATGGAACGATGGTAGTTGATAGAAAGTTGAAAAAAATTTCCACAATGGCTACTGACACTAGGTTGGTGAAACTGAAAACGAGGCTAAGTTATAAATAAACAACAGATAGGGCATATCTCGATATAACACAGAATATCCACACTGACATAGTTTAAAGACATGAACACTAAAGAATATGATGACAATGATTTACATGTCGGCTTGGCCAAGATCAGGTGCCCATTTCCAACTAAATGATGATATATAGATGTAACTCTTTATAGTTACATCTAATCTAAATGTCTTTTGTTGCATTACAAAGATCAGACTGAGAGCTTTTCATTGGTATATAATATCATATATATAGTATCTGCATTTTTGAAAAAACAACAGAATAAAGCTAAAGATTCATAACTTTTGAAGCATTATACTGTTGCACTTGATTTTTTACATTTTAAAAAATGGTTAATTAAAATTATTTTGAATGAAACATTCCAAATAAAATATATACTTTATTAAAGAGAAATCACTCTGGTTAAGTTTCTTTTTTACAGAAAAGAAAAAGGATAAAAATTTTGACCAAAGTGAGACCTTCAAACTTGTAATTGTGCCATCCAATCTACTTGTCACTGAATTGTTAATTTAAAGAAAGCATTGATTCTTTATGGATAAATATTGTACTATTATGTTTTTACTTCAAATGGTCAATGATGTTTTGTAATTTTTTATGAATTACACCATATGATCATGATAAATTATTACTGATACACCTTTTGAATGTCCATCTTGAGCTATATATGTATAAAATTAAAATAGAATTGGAAAAAATATGAAGCAATATAGTCCGTAAACAACAAGAACAACCCCTCCTCCGAAAAAAATCATGCCTTGATTTAATTACAGCTCCTGTTGCTTTTATTCATTATAATTTGAACCCCTGGTCCAATAATGCTTTATTTAGTTGAACTGGAATTTTATTTGGCATTGAAAGTACTCAATGCATGAGATAATTGATTTTTAAATATGGTATTATAAGTACTCAAACTAAGTGGTGTGAACTGTTATAGAAAAATAAATAATAAAAAAAAATTGCCAAAAATTTAATTATACAAATGTATTTTCTTTAAGTTGATTGTCCACAATAGAGATGCTTAACAGTATAGTCCGTAGCCCCAGTGCTCACATGAAAGTCATCCTTCTTAGATGCTAAATTAAAGTTCATTCTTGGTCTTTAGATGGTCTTAAACCATATTTTGTTATCAAAACACCAAGTACATGTAATTCTGACATGTATTATTTTGCTATGACAATTTATATTTTAATATTGTGAATTTATATGAAGTTTTCGTTTAATTTGTTAAATTTTACAGAATTTTTGTATAAATTGATTTAATATCCAAATGAAAGGATTTATTGATTACAAGTAAACTCCAAGATGATAATTTTAACAAATATTTATTGATACAAGCAGTTATTTTTCTATTATCTCTCATTAAATGAAAAATACTATATGTAGAGTCCGTAGCCCAGGGTCCTCAAAAAAGTCAATCAAAAAATATCTGACACAGTTTTTCTCTGAGTATTACCAAGTAAGTTTGAAATTTTCATCCCCACATACAATATCTTTAGAAAAATTGAAAGTACTTTAATGTATTTTTACTTCAAATGTCCAAATATTAAGAGTACAAAAACTCTCAAAGGTTAACAAATTTACCCATCTCATTTATATACTGTAACATTTTAATGGAAATGAGTTGTGTGATATTTTTTGCTCAGACAATATTTTGTGAAGAGTTTGTATTTGATTTATACATTTTTTGTTCAGCTGAATATGATTTAGATAAATGTTATGTCTGAATATGTATAGTCCGTAGCCCAATTGGATCTCTGCTATAGCAAGTGTGAAATCTTTTTAACCTTTAATCTTTTGACTTTAGATAAGGTGCTTCAACAATAAGTGTCCGACCATTAATATCATTTGTTGTAATTGTAGGTTGTTATCAAACAGGGGTATATGGATATAGCTGTAATATTAACTGTCCGATCAACTGTCAAGGCCGGAGATGCGACATTGTTAATGGATATTGTCTTGGATGTACAGAAGGATGGTCAGGATCGAAGTGTAATCAAGGTTGGTGGAATTCTAAAAATTATATATGAAGTACGATAATCGAATAGTGCACCAATGATTTAGAAAATGGACATAAATATACAGTTGTATCAACATTATTTGATGAAGATGCTTTCAAATCTTTCACTTTCATTATTTTAAAATAATTTGAAAACAATCAGCTTGTCCTTCCGGATGGTATGGACTTGAGTGCAAATTAAGCTGCTCCGGAAACTGCAGATACAGCGACACCTGTAATCACGTGACAGGGAGATGTGACAGAGGATGTACTTCGGGATGGAAAGACTATTATTGCGACAAACGTAAGATATATATTTATACATACATGCGGTGGATATTGCCTTTATTAAACGGGTAAAAGGTGTAAAACTTTAATTATCCAACACTACTGGTCGGAACTACTTTAAACAGTCTCTCGCTTCAATACTTCAATGTTGTTAAGTATTTGAAGCTTTTGATTGTGAGTGTCATTTTGTCATTGACCGAATTTTTCAAGGTGTACAAGGTGTAAAAATGTTAAATTAAATTAAAAATAATACATGTACTTTGAAAGAAACAATTTGCTGATTTTTTTTGTTAAAAAATGAGCAATCTTTATATTCTTCATATTATTTTACTGTGGGGGTAAAAACGAACAAAAGGCCTTTATCATCAATTATCATTCAGGCAGAAAAGCATCCTATCTTAAAGTGCTTTCAAGGGCCTTCTCTAAATTTTCATAAAGACACAACCTTCTTCTTCAGCAAGAGTACTTCACCACTTATAGCGTATTTTCGTATCATATGGTGCAAGGTCTCCTGTTTTTAAATAGTTATATACTGTAAGTATGCAATGACGCTTGAAACTGTCTAAGGGTAAAGCATAAAAAGTTTAAAATGATAAGAAGTTTTAGAGTTGGTCCCACCTGGAAAGAACGATTTTTATATACTGTGGTCCTGACATACGGTACAAGAAAGGTGATGTAGATGTTTTTCCCTCTTGGAAAGATGGTTGGTTTCTGGAGTTGTCTATGGAATGTCAATCAAATGATACACAATTCTGTATCATCATGGTTTTTGCCTGTGCTCTTTCGCCCCATAGTTTGGATCAGTTGAGTTGCTTGATCATGTTGGAGAAGCTGCAGGGTGTTCTATAGCAATTCAACACTATTCGGGCAGCTCTCTGCTGTATTATCTACAGGTTGCTGATGTTTTTCACCTTATGCGGGTCCCTAGTGTTTTATATCAGAGGGCATTGGTTTCACATGGGCAATAGTTGAAGATATTCCGCAAAAAGTTTTATATTAAGTTCTCACTTGGTGATCTGGTTGTTTCTGAGTCCATTTCCAAGCTCTTGTGGATATTAACTCCAAGATACTTGGCCAACTCAACCATTTCGATGGCGTGTCCGTGGATTTTGTAAGTGTATTCTACACGCATCCTTTTGCAAATGTTGTAGGTGACATGTAGAACGTGACTTTTCCTAGAGTAGAAATCCATTGACCAGTTGCCCTCCCCTATGCTTTAGAGCTTCTGGGTCTTCTTGAAGCTGATGGCGTCCTCTTTTTTTCTGATATTCCTACAGAGAGCACAGTCACCCGCTAACAGTCTTGCTGTTGATCACTTGAGGCACAATCTGGTAGGACAATAATGAACAAGAGGAACAGCAATGGTCCATTGGACATGACATGAACATCGACAGCAATGGGCAAGATCCGGCAAGCATATCACCCTGAGGGACTCCTGATTAGTCTTGGCTTGTTGATGATGAATCACACTTGGGTCCTATCTATAAGAAAGTCCTCTATCTATTTCAGATGAATGTGTCTAATCTCATAGTGATCATCGTACGAGATCAACAGAGCATCTATTACTTAATTTATATTTACATGCTTCAGCCAACTCGTTAAAATTATGATTTTAGCTCGATAAGCTTCGACAATATATTCAATGTTTTAACCCAGTGGTTGGATGAAGCAAATATGGAAATATCCTCTATATACTAAAAAGGGTATTTTATGATCATTAGAGTTCAGATACATCATAAAAATGTCATTTTTAAAGGTGCAAAAGGGCATTTAATTTAAAATAAAATTATTATTACGTGAAGGGTTTTTTTACTTTTAGGAAAATAGGGTTATGTGTAATTTGATTTACATATTTTAGTTTATCGAAGAATATTTACATTTCCAATGTCTTTGTCCGAGATAAAATGACAAATAGTAAAAATACTTTATTTCAAAATAAATCTACTGGATCATCGATAGGCGTGGTGAAAAAAAATCACGTGCGGGGCGGGACAAATAGAGACAGAAGCGGGGCTTCTAGCACGTGATTTTGCAGAATCAAGAGCATGTAAATATAAGGAATAACTGTCAGATTTTTTTTGTTTCATGACGATGATCAATCGATTGGCTTGCCTGATAATTTTATGCATAAACGCGTTTATGCAAATTATCACGCAAGCCAATCGATTAATCACATCATGAAACCAAAAAAATAGACAGTTATTCCTTAATTAACCCACAAAAATTAATTTCTAGAGTATTGAAAATTTATGTAGCTTTAATTTACCTTTTAATTTACCATTATTTGCATCTATGACTTTACATTCTTGGATTATTTTTTGAAAAGATTTAACAAAGGAAGTAGCCTATTGTAGGTTTTTTCCATGCCAGTTTTTGTAGAAAATTTTGTTATTCATATGTACATGTAGTGCAAGAGGACCGACCACAAACGAAAGTTATTGGAAAAAGAAACAAAAATCTTAGTTTTAAAAAGTTAAGAACTTTCAGGTGTAATAATAGTAATTTGATTTAGATTTAAGCTCTTTTTCCGAATACTACATTCCTTGCAGTAGCTATAGGAAGTGCTAATACGGATGCATTCCTGACAACTTCTTCATAAATCATTCTCACTTTTCCAATTATTAAAGCAGAAAATACTACAAAGCTTCGATTTTTAATGCTATCTTTCAACTGGCGACAAAATTCCATAAATATAATGAATTCAGTCGAATATTTGTTGAAATCTCGCATTAAACAGTTGAGTGCAATATGTTTTGTTTGTTTGTATGTTGTTTAACGTCCCTCTCGAGAATTTTTCACTCATATGGAGACGCCACCACTTGCCGGTGGAGAGCTGCAAATTTTGTCCTATACTCGGCACTTACCGCCATTGAGCAGTGAGGGATCTTTTTCGTGCCAGCACCTACTGCGACACAGGACCTCGGATTATACGGTCTCATCCGAAGGACCGGTCTCCACGTCCCACAGTGGGATTCGAACCCGCGACGTAAGGATCAACTCCTTACTCCGCGACTCTAGAGCAGACGCTCTAACCACTGCGCCACGCGGGCGACGAGTGCAATAAGAAAGCCATCAATCCTTCTGTAGTTTGAAATTCAGAAGTGTCTAAAGAATTAGATATATCACATGATAAATACTTGCTGGTCCAGCTGACAAGGCAGGTAACAACATAATCTTTGTTTTAAAGCGCATTATTACAATTGCACATTTGAGGAATTTTTTAGGGGTTAACTTCTACAAGTGGTAATCAAATTTTAATCGTACCCATAGTTTCCTTTTTAAGGAGGAAATTCTTCAAAACCATATGTCAGTTTTAAACATTTTTGATAATCACAACAACCACATTGAATTTAAATTTTAATACCAATGCGAATTCCAAAACCTCATAAAATTCCTTACAAATGTAAAATGTGACGATAATAACGAACAGTGATCGATCTCATAAATCCAGTAATCATAACGAATCGTAAACAGGGCTAAAACTCATTCTCCTCACATTTACTCCAATCTATGGAGACCCGGTCTTCCAACATTCACTTTGAATTCGAATGGGTTCTAATTGTGTCTTGTTATAAGCTGACCTGTTGATGACGCTGGCCTTCAATTCGACATTATTAGCTATCCAGGTTCAATCAAGGGTGTACAGGGATTTACCCCGGGTTTTATTCCATACACCCTGAGGCCGAAGGCCGAAGGGTGTATGGAATACAACCCCGGGGTAAATCCCCGTACACCCTTGATTGGACCTGGATAACGAATTTCTGTGATTTATTTATTGAATAAAAGTGATATTCTCTCACAGTGTGAAAGGATACCAAAATGATATTCTCTCACAGTGTGAAAGGATATCAAAATAATTAAAAAAAATAATTTCTGGCCTGTCATAACATAGAGATAGTAACTAACCATCTTGATAGAGCTAAAACTGCAAATTTCTCCCCAAATATGTTGCCTAAAACCCATGCTATGTGATGTTTTCAATCTCACAACTGCTAAGCTATGACGTCTTAACCGCTCAACTATGACGTCAAGCTTATGACACAGTGTTAAGAAAAGACAGGGGCAACGGGAAAATCAAAGAAAATGTAATAAACAGAAAATTCAATGTTTTGTAGATGAATATGGAGTTTATATCACTCGTGAAACAGGATTTTTTTTATATTTTCACTCGTGCTTCGCACTCGTGAAAATATCAAAAAATCCTGTCCCACTCGTGAAATAAATTCCATATTCATCTACAAAACATTGAATATCCTCTATATACATTATGACGTCACGTTTTTTACCTCCTGCTCAAGTCGGTTGTATGGAAATTTACACCCGACTTTGTAACCAATCAAAGCTCGTGTTACAAGCTACATAGGGAATAATTTAATATATCTACGACGTTTTATTAATTTATAATATTGATCTTCATTAAAACATTGATTCTATATAATAAACACATTAAACACAAAATTCAAGATTTCAAGATGCTCACTCCTTTATGACAGATTAGTCATCCCCCTCTGTTTTCAGAGTTTCTTGTTTGCTCTGCTCATAATTTGTATTTTTTTTTAATTGGACTTGTGAGTGAAAGTGAAATTGAAAATGAAAAAGGTGAAGATAACGAACAGTGATCGATCACAAAAAAAACCTATAAACAATACAAATGTGTGAACAGGCCATAAAACATGGACCCCCGAAAAGTCCAGAGATGGGATCAGGTGCCTAGGAGGAGTGAGCATCCCCAGTCGACAGGTCACACCCTCCATGGGCCCTATGTATTGCTAAGCTGCAGTTAGACAGAATACTCTGTAGTCAAATTTAGTCTAAAAACAAAGACTAACAGTTGGTATATGTCAGTCAAAATAAGACACAATGATATAAGGATATATTCTCTAACAAGGTCATTATAACGACAATAAAATTTAAAAATTGATGTTTTAAACGAGATTGTTGAAATCCCTGTAACGTCAACTTATCTATCAGTAGTTTGCCTCGTTTTTAAAATTGATCGTATTCAGAGCATGCTCTTGAGTAATCGAGTCCGTTGGGAGACATAAACACCATAAGCAGCTGATAACGGAATATCACTACAAAAATAAGAAAGTTGACGATGGAAAAGCTGAAGTCATCTTGTTTTTTTTTAAACAGTTCAGTTGTTAGCTGGCCCTTATCGTCAATAGTCATTCAATCATCCAAATAAGAAACAGGTGTGACAGACTCCCTGGTATGATTACTAATAGTTATCTTCATCTCATATTTATAATTTTTTTATTATAAGTTTAAATATAATAACCAATTTTAATTCTCAATCGTGTGTGATTAACACTTCCCTTGTAATAAATAATTTTTCATTACAAAAAAAGCAAACGAAGATTGTACGTTCTATCTTTCAGAGTGTGATCCGGGTACTTACGGACCTAACTGTGAGAACACCTGTAGTGGACACTGCTTCAATGGTACCTCGTGTAGCATAGTGACCGGAAACTGTGATAATGGGTGTTATCCGGGTTATACAGGGGACCTCTGTGACACAGGTGTAATGCATATTTATGTAATCTCCCTTTTAAAAAATTGTCTATGGTCCCTTTAACCCCACATGGATTAACATTAGCAGTAATACATGATAGTACTTACTAAAATCTGTTCACTTTTAAAGGATACTCTTCATTATTTTCGACACGTGGTCATTTTATGCTGATATTTCATCGTTATGCGCTGATAGTTTGTTTACATGCTGATACTTCCTCATTATATGGTGTTACTTTGACACAATATCTTAATACTTGATATTATACCGTATAGCCCTTTTGGGGGGGGGGGAGTTAAGGGTTGGAAATTGGGCTGATTTTGGTTTAGGTAGTATACCATTTAGGGGAAAATTTTGGTATTACAGAATTTCCTTAAAAATGGCTTTTAATCAAATCATCACGTTACAAAGTATCATCACATTACAAAGTATCATAACGTTACAAAATTATTATCAAGTTACAAAGTATCATCACGTTACAAAGTATCATCACGTTATAAAATATCATCACGAGACAAAGTATAATCACGAGACAAAGTATCATCACATTAAAAAGTATCATCACGTTATAAAATATCATTACGTTACAAAGTAGCATCACGTTACAAAATATCATCACGAGACAAAGTATCATCACACTACAAAGTATCATCAGGTTACAAAGTATCATCATGTTACAGAATATTATCACGAAACAAAGTATCATTACATTACAAAGTATCAACACGTTATAAAGTATCTACACGTTATAAATTATCATGAAAACGAACAGGAAAAAAATCCATTCAGTCGGAAGTCTGATTTCAATTATGGTCCAACTTAATTACCTTTTTCTTTTTAAGGTAAAACTATACGATACTCGTATATTATCACGCTTTTCCCTGATCGTTAAGTCGAATGTTGACTGAGACTGGCGTTTTTCATACTAATTGTTAGGCCATTACTTTCGCTGGATTGTCTACAGATGTTCTTGATTACCCGATTACGCAGGTAGGTTAAGGCTTCCCGTAGAATATGACAGTGCACTCCGTGCCTTCACATCTCCGAACTACCAAAATATGACGTCATAATGGAAAATGACGTCAGGTCACTGCAAACTTGAGGTGTTATGACGGGGAGAGTGTCATGAACGTAACACTTTATTTCAAACTGCATGTAAAATGCTAAATAGCTATTACAAAATTCACGGGTCCTTAAAGGTTTTTTAAGTCTTATATGTCCGAATATTTTAAAAATACACCGCTTACCTACCCTTGATTGAAATTCTTCATGTTCAAAATGCTTAGGAAAAATATACTTTTGAAATGTACTCTGTTTTATACCCGTGGTTGGAGGTAGAATTTATTTTGTGTGTGTAAAAGAGTCTGGCGCAGGTGATTAATGAGGATTAATCTGAGAATTTTTGTGGAAATCTGTAAGAAGAGGTTGTTCTCTAACTGAATCTTGCTTGGGAAAAGTGTGTGTTGGCTTTGTTTTAATACAGATTACGATATTGTGTGGAAAATACCCTCAAATTTGTAGGTAAGTTGAATTTCTCAGGAAATATTTTGTACCCAAGTAATACTACGACTTTTCCCAAGCACATTTCGGATACACAAGGATACGATAAGTTTATTTATATAACAAAATGTTTATAATTATTGTGTTAATCAGCTGCGCCGAAGCGATTTATATGAAACACTTCAAAAAATTATAAATGACCGTCACGTGATCAACAAAGTCATGTGATATCATAACAAATACGCTAATATATAGCCGAGGAAACCCTTTATATAAATTGGAAGTACTAAAGTTCAATACTTATAAATTAAAACCAAAACCGACCTCGCAATGACATATTATGTTTTGAGCGCATTTTAAAGCTTCGGGAAGCCTTAACATAGCTGCGTATGACAAGGAGCACACGTGTGTGTGTGATCGGTTGACAGGGGATGCTGACTCCTCCATGGCACATAATCCCACCTCTGATGTCTGAGGTCCATGTTTTCTCTACCCACAATTTGCATTGTTTCAATGGACTTTGAGCTTGATTAATGTTCGTTATCATCATACTTCATGCATTAGAAACCTTCTCAGAAGTTCAGATATCAGCTTTTTAAAAATGGTAAACAGTTAATGATGTGTTTCTCCCCTTACAATAGAATGTCTACCTGGTTATTTTGGGATGCGTTGTAGAGACAACTGTAGCGGTCACTGTCTACACAATCAGAGCTGTCATCATGTCGATGGAGTCTGTAAAAACGGTTGTACAGCCGGGTATAGAGACACACAGTGCTTTAACAGTATGTAGAGGTCGACCATTTTCTTTCTTTGCAATCCTGATTTTTTAAGCTCAGTAAAGAGCAATTACCAACTGTGATAATCAAAAAGAAAAAATGCAATAATTATTATTAATTAATTAATTAGAATCTGCATTTTCTTATTCAAGTTTGTACACCTGGGTTCTATGGAATGAAATGTAAGGAGACCTGTTCTCATAGATGTCTTGAAATTTGTAACCATATTGATGGTTTTTGTTCGTGTGCCCCTGGATGGATGGAACCTCCAACATGTAATACAGGTATCGAAATAACAAGAAGACATTGACATGATGAATATTTTTAGAAAGATCTTTTTTAAAAAATGTGTTATATGCCAAAGAATAAAATAAATTTTCTTGCATTTAATCTTGTGTTTGTTTTACCTTACTCAGTTAAATATGCTGTACCTTTATTCTGTAAGAGTGTCCAGATGGATTCTTTGGAGTGGATTGTGGTTTCCAATGCAGTGATAACTGTGTTAACAATGAAACATGTAACAGATTTGAGGGAACGTGTGATAGAGGCTGTCAGGGGTCCTACAGCGGGCTGATCTGTGATCACCAGGGTAAAAAGCTGCTTATTTAATTTCTATTTCCGATTTTAAGATAAAACAATCACATGTTTAATCCTTTATTTGATACTTATCCATTATGTTTTTATATTATTGTCTTCTTAGTATTTTCCCCCTCTTTTAAAGTCCTTGTAACGTATAAGGAGGTAGACTGTGAACATGAGGGTCCCTCCCCAGCGGTAATAATCATCATCACTATCTCCGCTTTACTAAACATCACAGGGTTCTCTATCTGCATCTTATCATCAAGGTGATTATTATATTAATATATTTAAACTTAAATTGAGGGATATTTTAAAAGTCGTTACATTTCATTATCACATAAAAAATTGAATACTTCAAATTTATTCACTAAGCATTTGGACTGTAAATGAGATCATCTCTAGAAGTCTTTATGAACTTGTTACATTATGGTATCCTCATTGCTTGTTTCCAAATTATCCTTACAGGGATCGCATGATGGTCTGTTGGAAAAATGGAAAGAAAAGGACACATTATACTGGAAGAGAAATAAAGAATATATCTGAAAATGGAGAAGATTGTCATAATTATCAAGAGATAAATATCAAATCATATCAGAATTTAACACTTAATTCATAGATTTTTTTTCCACAGGATAAAACACCGGTTATCATGCACGCCATTAACAATGAATAGAAAGACCTTGTATAGGAAGTGTCTGCTGTCCGTATGTTTAACTCATGATAAAGAAATAAATATACAATCAAACCATGAAACAATATTTATGCTCACTCTAGGGAAAAAATTCATTTCAATGTAAATATCTTAACAAAATAACTAATTTACAAAACATGTAATTTGCATACTGATTTTTAAATGTTAATACACTCAATAAAAGCGTTGCAATTCAATCATTCAGAGTAAAATTCGAGTAATTTTGCATTATTGAGAATTGTGTTTGTATATTCTGAAATAAAAAAAATTCTCCATTTTATATTTTTATTTCTTTCTTCAATTCACGCAATATCTGGGCCATAATTTTCCAACATTGTTTATTACTTACGGTGATTTCCCCATGGATGGGTCATCCTCTTACTTTAAAGAATAATACGAGCTGCATACTTAACCCTGTTGTTATTCTTGTGAAGATAAATAAAGGGATAGGATAATTGAAAGGTAATAACACTTTTTTAAAATTAATAAATGCCAATATTCTTGAAGATAAAGAAAATAGAGCAAATCGGCATTATAACAAAATGCACCTTTCATCGGTCATTCTGAATATCCTTAAATTTTTTAATTACCAGCGATAGACTGAGAAACAAAACTTAAAACAAGTCCTGTTAGATTTACAGTCCCTGAAACGTTCTACTTTCCCATTTTTCCGTTCGCTCACCATTCGTTCACCGTTCGTTCAGCGTGCGTTCACCGTTCGTTCACCGTGCGTTCATCGTTCGCTCTCCGTTCACAGTTTTGCGTTCTGCGTTCACCGTGCGCTCGCGTTCACCGTTCACAAAGCGTTCACCGTTCGTTCTCCGTTCGTTCACTTTGCGTTCACCTTGCGTTCAGCGTTCACTCATCGTTCAGTCGTTACTGTCATTCGGACCTCCAAAGTGAAAGGACTTATCTTTTTTGTAAGTAAGGATTTACAGGATTTGAAATTTAATAATAAACATATCGTGTTTAAAGGATTATTATTTCATGGGAACAAATTATCTACAATATGTTTTATTATTATTCTAACTTAGCTGTTGGGTTATTTATTAAATTACTCTGGAAAATTAATGTTGTTATCAGTATGTACCTATGTAGAACTATGCTGAAAAATTGAATTTAAATACGGGCAATATACGGGTACTTCAAGCACTGCAACATTTTGTTGTTATGTTAAAGACGACAAATCGTTAATGGAGAGATAATAATCCATGCCAATTAATTTACCAACTGCAGCAAAATTACGAAAGTGTTTATTTATTTACTAACACGATTTTTTTTTCAATTACTATAGATATACATAATTAGAACTAGGTCTGAGAATTATAAATAGTACTGAGGATATCTAGTTAATTAAATATCTTTGGAGCGAATTAAATTGATAGTGGGGTTAAAAATATTTATTTAAATGTAATACACTACAATTCATTTATTAAATCTATTGTCAGAGAGAAAAAATCCTTTGTTCACAATAACTTCATATGTTTGCCATTCGATATGATTAAGACCCCCCCCCCCCCCCCCCCCCCCCCGCTTTCCACCTTAATCGGTTACTTAGCATTTCCAGTACATGTATATTTTAATTAATATTTGTAAAGAAGTTAACGAGTTCTGTAGCACAAAAAAATTTAGTCTTAAAACAAACATTCATCTAAAAAAATGTCAATAACCAATAGTAGTTCAAAATATACACGTGCCGACGGTGGTATTTTAAATTAGCCAGGGAGTATGTTTCAAATTCATTCCAAGTGTTTATGCCCAATGTATTTTATTTATTTATTTATTTTTTGGAAAAGTTTGAATCAAATCTAGAAATGATAAAAAAATGTTAAAACTTCTTGGAAATACTACAGTGTAGCACTTCGCCTTTGCTGTGACGAGACTTTCACACCTGCACAGTGTCGAATGATTTTGATTGACAGAACAAACACGTGGACTTCGTGTGAACTTGGACAATTTTTGAATACCTATTTATTTTTTTGGCGCCTGACATTAGAATACAATAGAATAGATACAATATATGGAAAAGATCAGAGGCATTCCGAATAAATCGTTCACCTTGCGTTCACCGTTAACTTTGTGCTCGCGTTCGCGCTCCGTTCGCGTTCTGCGATCGCTCACCGTTCAGCGTTCACCAAGTTGCTTTCAGCGTTCACACATCGTTCTCTCACCGTTCGCTCTGCGTTCGTTCAGCGTTCGCTCACCGTTCAAGTGGGAAAGTAGAACGTTTCAGGGACTGTAAAACTACTAGTCATTAATCAAAAGGAAAAAAAAATAAATCAACAAAGTAAATGAAATGATGTATATTCATTTTCATAATTATTTTTTAATTAATCATATGAATTTTTAATGGTTCGTGAATTATAATTATATTTCGCTGAACTATTATTTTTTTAAATAGAAATTTACATTTTTTGATAAATATTTAATCATTAAATCCTGTGTAAATGCAAAAAGGTCAACATGAGTTGTAATGGTAAAAAAAAACTCTCTAAATTTTCAGGGAAATGCATATACATTGTATTTTAATCACTTTTCGTAATCATTTGGGTATGTTCTTCGTCATATTAAGGATTGTAAACACTGTCACAAAGACCTTTGGTAAATATTTACAAATGTAGGGTTGTAGATTGACTAATAAACCCTTTGAAAAGTATAGAGCGCATTTGCCTATATTTATTGAAATGTGGATTTAATCTTTTATGTCAATTGAAGAAAAAATAATTTAATTTTGAATAATATTTCTAACTATTGTTTTGTTTATTAAGTCTATAAACGAAGATGTTTGAAGAAGTATTTTTGTGATTTTTCTATATTCTCCTTATGACCATGTATCCCTAAAAATGACTTAAAATTAAAGTCGCTGTGTATAATTATCATTCTAAATTGCACCGGCTGCACTTCATTTGATAACAAGCAAACATGCCATGTACTTTTAACTGATAAATAAGCGAGTGTTCATTACTCATTTTAAAAAGTTTGAAAATCCTGTGACAAAGACGTACGTTATACCTTAAATAAGAAAAGTTGATGGAAAAGCTAATGTCATCTCGTTTGTCATACAATTTTGTTTTTAGTTGTTATCGTCTATAATCAGTATAACATCCAAATATGAAACCAGTGTGGCCACAGCAAGTGGAAAATTAAAAAAAAAAGGTCGGCTATTTTTACCCGCACTTTAATTTCTAAAGAAAGTTCGGATATATTGTTGTTATCCCTGTCCATCCATCCGTCCGTCTGTCACACTTTCTTCTTCCTCAAACTCCTCTCCTATTTTAAGCAGTAAACAACTAATCTTTTTGAAGATGATAGGTTGTATTCTGGAAATGTACAATAAGGTTTTGGAAGTTCAATTTTGCCCAGGGGGCAAAATGGGGATCAAAAAATGACGTTTTTTTTCTACAAAATCCTTTTTCCAAAACTCCTCTTACATTTTACGCAGTAGCCTAATCATCTTGTGGAAGATGATTGTGGTGTCCTGTAGATGTGCAATAAGGTTTCGGAATTTTCATTTTCATCCTGGGGGTCAAATGGGGGTCGAAAAATGACGTTTTTATACAAAAAAAAAACCTGGTACACAGAACTCTTACATTTTACACAGTGACCTAATCATCTTTTGAAAGGTGATTGCTGATATTCTTTAAATGTTGAATAAGGTTTTGGAATTTTTATTTTTACCCTAGGGTCTAAACTGGGGTAAAAAAAGACCTTTTTTTACAAAACCCCCTGGTTCCCATAACTCCTCTTACTTTTTACGCAGTAGCAAAATCATCTTTTCGAAGGTGATTGGTGGTGTCCTGTAGATGTACAATAGGTTTCAGAATTTTCTTTTTTTAACCCTTGGGCCCAAAAGTGGGTCAAAAATGACGTTTTTGTTTTTTGTTTTTATAAAAAAAATCCTCTGGTTTCTTGAACTCTTCCTACATTTTACACAGTAGCCTAATCGTCTTTTTGGAGATGATTTTGTAATAAAGTTTCGGAATTATCAATTTTACCATTGGGCGCAAACGGGGGTCAAAAATTGACATTTTTCTACAAAAAAAAACTGCTTCCCTGAACTCCTTTTACATTTGACGCAGTATCCTAATCATCATTTGGAAGGTGATTGGTGGTGTCCTGTAGATGGGCAATAAGGTTTCATTATTTTTCACCCTGGGTGTCAAATGGCTGTGAAAAAATGACATGTTTTGTACAAAAAAACCTGATTCCCAGAACACCGCTTATATAATTTCGAGGTTATCTCTAATTAATTATCGGATATATCGAAGTTCAATGTTGGTCCCGTCTAGTGTGAGATATCGAGGGTTGACTGTTTCTAGTTTTTGTAACCATGGCACCACTGTTCAAGGAAATCAAAAACAAATAAACAGAATTATGTATCTTATTATAGTCTACCTGTAGTCTTATTGAAATCGGTTAAAAACTGTAGTGTTTTGAAAGAACAAATTTGATTCTACACTATGTAATGAAGCTTTCACATACGTTTTCACTGTTCTTGCCCAGTGGTTCTTGAGAAGAAGATTTTTAAAGATTTTTTTCTTCTATACGTTCCCATGTACAATTTTGATCGCCTCTTGTGGCCCCACCCTATCCCTGGGGGTCATGATTAGAACAAACATGAATCTACATTATGTAATGAAGTTTTCACAAAATTTAAACTTTTCTAGCCCGATGGTTCTTGAGAAGGTTTCTGAAATTTCTCTCCTTAAAATAGATTTTAACTCTTCATTTGAACAAACTTAAATTCCCTTCACCCATGCAAGATTATTTTGAGGCAATTTTGTTAAAATTGGTCCAGCAGTTCTTGAGAAGAAGATGATATGAGTAGTTTTCAAACATAATTTAGTTCATT